GTCATTTATATATATATATATATATTTAAGTTCTGCTGTGAGAATGAAAACATATAACAAGTATCAAATAGATGTTATCCAAGTTTGGCTGCAAAGTTGGAATTACATTCCAAATTTGGAGAAACACCCCTATGCTCACCTCTCTAGCCCAGAACATTATCTTGTTTTTCAGGTCCTGACTTAGAATATTGTGACCAGGTCTTTATCTCTACTGCCTAATGGCACAAGCCCATATAATAAATCTGGCCCTGCTCATATTACATGTTTGTGGTAAAACCTGCCTATAGGTTACAAGTACAGTATAAGTCTTTGCAAAACATTCATAGGAGCCATTTTGTCTTAGCTTAATTTCATCACAGGGAATTTAATACAAGATTTCATATTGCAGTTGAAAGACTGCAGTTTGCAATTGTTGGTATTCTGTAATGACTCATAAATGACTGAATTTCAGCTTCTCATGGCCAGCTGCTAATCTGACAGTATACACTGTCAATAACAGAGCTGCAAAATTTCCAGATGTTGCTAATCTATAGTGAGACCCGCAGGCCACAAAATAAGCACACGGTGGGAAAACATGCCAGTGCCAACATGCCACCAGATGAAAACTGTTATGGCTCTCTAAGGACTAATTTACCATTTTGGAAATGTTCATTAATTTCTACCGTCATAGTAAAATTTTAGCTCTAGAAGAAGCATATAATTAGATTTTACATTTCAGTGAGGTCATTGTAGCAAAATAAAGTCTGGTTCCTGTGGGTGACTGAATTTACAAAGAAAAAAGACAAATGTCAGATATTTCAGGTTAATAAAACTCATAGTTTACATTGCTCCTACAGTTGATGCATCTCAACTGCATAAAACTGTATCCTGATTGCCCAGGATACAGTTTTATGCAGTTGAGATGCATTTATTGACCCCTCCTTGCTGAACACTGACCAAAGTGGTTAGCAAAGTGTCAACGTGCATTCTTATCTGTCTAAAGTCTGTGCATGTGCCAGGCAATTGAATAAAAATGACTGTATTTGTACCAAAGTGACACCTGTTCTAGATAAAAAATCATGAAAAAATAGCATTGTGTTATAAAAAGAGTTGTAACTTAGCTAAACTGGAGTGTGTCTTAATATTTAATTGGATGGGAATATAATTATAAGATCTGTACCCAGCATGCAAAGATTACAGATATCGCCTTTAGTTTTAGTGCACCATATAGAGCAACAGTTCCTCTGGTAATAGATATGAACTGTGCCTCTTTCAGGCCAAAGCAGCTGCTTCCAATACCATTAAATTTATGTACACAGATTTTGTGCTGGGCAATGTTTTATGATATTCACATGTTATAAGTCTATTACTATGTACATAAAGCCAAAACTTTTTGCGGGGTGCGGATAGAGAGGTGAGAGGTTATGACTCATGTGGTTTTTATTATGGTTTATTGTATGTGTTCCCATTAGGGAGATCAGCTGTATGTGTTCCCATTAGGAATGCAGCTGTATGTGTTCTCATTAGGAATTCAGCTATTTGTCCTGTTGACCAAAGTCACACGGGCTGAAATTGGCAGGAAGTGCAAAATTTTAAGTTATCACTAGAACGGGAATAGAGAGGAAATCTTTCAATAAGGACACTTGTTTTGGTGACAACTAAGTGGAGATTTGTCTCACTTTGGAGAGATTTCCTCTAACTTCCTGCTGTGTGTCCAGGACATAAAGTTCTTCAATGGGACAAAGATGTCCACAAAAATACCTGACAAGGCTTTAACAACCTCACGTCCATCTAAAAAAGGAAAGACATACTTCAATTCTTGTAGGTTATTAAAATTCAGAACACAAAAATAATGTTACTAAAATCAGAAGCGTAACTAGAAACCCCAGGGCCCCGGTGCAAGAAACCATTGAGGCCCCCCCCCCAATAAAAACATGATTTTGAATTGTGACCCTGGTAATTCTGCCTGCGCTTAGTATGGGGCATTTTCATAAGTACGTGTGAAAAAACCCAGTATTGGCACTGGTGCATCCCAACTTACTAATATAATGTATTGCTGGGACTTGTGGTCCTGCATTGTTGGTGCTATTCTGTATTGCTGTATGATGATTATACAGTAATGCAGAATAGCTCCAACTATCCAGGACTACAAGTCCCAGCAATGCATTATAATGTAAATAATAACAGCTTTTTAACCCCCCCCCCCCCCAAAACACACACACATTTGTGCATCCCTACTTAATAATATAATGTATTGCTGGGACTTGTGGTCCTGCATTGTTGGTGCTATTCTGTATTGCTGTATGATGATTATACAGTAATGCAGAATAGCTCCAACTATCCAGGACTACAAGTCCCAGCAATGCATTATAAGCGGCGGAGGATGGAGCGGCGCTATCTGGAGGGGGGGCATGAGGAAGCTTTCGGGCCCCCCCAACAGGCGGAACGCCAGGGCCCGATCGCAATTGCGACCGTTGCGACCCTGGTAGTTCCGCCACTGACTAAAATCATTAAAGGGTCCGTTCACTCAAAATGAAAGTTTTAGCTTTTGTTAAACAATGGACAGGTATTTCATCTAACGATTTCGTATGTCTCCTGAGTACTCTATCAGTGAGATCTCTGGGGTCCCACTCTCCCTGTTGAATTTTTAATTCATTTTATATTGTAAAGAATCCAAGAAATGCTGACACATGCATAGAGTGTAGAGACCTAGGCCAGAAGGTCCAGGTGGATGGGTACTCTGTTTATTTACTTATGCTTGCCAAAACCTATGATTGCCATAACTCTTGATGAACAAGCTGAAATGTAATGTGTGGTTGCCACAGTCGGGAGCTTTCCAACCGGCATCCCTTGATCAGCTGATTGAAGGAGTATGTCGGAAAATAGTCGGCCAAATAGAGCTAGCAGCCAATGACCTGCCAGCTCTGTTTGGGTATTTTGACAGCAGCCGGCAGCCGCTGCCAGAACACAAAGGAATCAGCAGGAGATTGCTCAATCAATAGTCGTAAGCTTTGATGGAGGAATCGGTTCTATTTTCTTTGTTCAGCTGGCAGGTTGAACAAAGAAAATAGAAGCATGTATACCCGACTTAAGAGTGTCCATAGGCCTTAGAGGACAATCAGATGTCCAGGTATGATTGCTCTCCAGCACCACTGACTCCCTATTCAACCTACACTATCAGGGTTATTCACAAAAGGGTAACGAGTTTGGAGAAGGCAGGAGAAGTGAACAATCTAGGTCATCATAGCTGAACTGGAAAGTGAGTTGAATTGGAGAATTTTTCCAAATGAGCTATTTTGGCCTACATGGTTCACTTCTCCTGCCTTCTCCAAACTCCTCACCCTTTAGTGAATAACCCTGTATGTGTTCATTTGAATTTGCAAGGAAAGGGGAAAGGAAGATGTTTAGTGCCTGGCAGACACTGCCAGTGTCGCTGCCTAAGGGGAAAAGTACCAAAAATGTTTTCTAAAGGTTGTGGTCAGCCAATGGGTATGTGCCTCCTGCATAGAAATATAATTCAAAACTGAAAACAGATCAGACAGCGGTCATATACTAATAACAAGTTCTTAAATCAAAAATAATTATTATATATATATATATATATAAAAAAACAAATACAAAATGTATATAAACAAACTGTAATACTGTATTTAACATTCTTCATAATGGCCTCTCTAAAATAAAATTTGTTAGGCATTTGCAGCTACTCTGTGTAGGCACAGTATGCAATCCAAATGAATAGGCAGCGGATAATTTAATCTCCTTGAATTTTACTGTACTTTATTAACATATTGTTCTGCAGGCGCTAAACTTATTAAAACATTACTACTGAACACAGTAGATACTTACGTCGCTATTTTCCATGATAATCCAGTGCCCTGAATTATCATTGCACTTTAACAATGCAGGACCACCATGCATTAGATACTCAAAAAAGGACAAAGCAAGCTGTATTGTGTCGTGTCAGAACTACTGTGTTAGGGATAATATGGAACAAAATCATCCAATGATTTAGAACACTGAACAAGAGAGATGCTATGACAATCCTATGGCTGAGAGAAGTCTGTGACAACTGCTTTGCCCGCAGGGGGCAAAGTTACTTCTGAGTCTTTGAGGCTTAACAAGGTCTTTTCTCTGATCATTTCCACTACAGTGGTGTGGGGGCTTCCAAAGTTTGATGCGTACATGTACAGGAGTCTTTGGATTCCTGCTATAAAGACTGCTGTGGAGGCTCCCAATGTAAATGCATGTTGCTCAAAATAATGTAATTATTCTAATGGGGTTCATGAGAGCCAAGATAAATTTTTTACTAATGTCAATGTGCAATGCAAATATTTGTATAATGAAACAATCTTTCTGTCTATTATTAATTTACCTGCTTGTCTGCCCTGTCTATTGCCCATATGAAGAGCTTTGCTTGTACTATAAAAATAAATATGTACAGTATGAACACTATGTGTGGGGCTATCTATCTATCTATCTATTTATCTATCCAGGGCCGTAGCTAGGGTGAGGCGACTGAGAGGGGGGCGCAGCCAGGGTTCAGCGCGGCAGTGAGACGTGGGGCGGCACAGACTGCAGCTTCTCCGTTGGAACCCCGCCTTTCCCCCCCCCGCCTGTATAGGCAGAGGCAGCGGGGATCAGTAGAGAAGTGAAGCGCTGAAGCTGGCGGGGGGGGGGATTGGAGGGAGCTATCACTTCTGGATGGTGAAGTGGTGAAGTGGTGAAGTGAGAAAGTGACGCTCGCCCAGGATCTGACAGTGGCTCTCTCTCCTCACCGCTTGGCCACGTCATGTCACTAGCTGTGTTCTTCTCTCTCAGTGTTCCGTTTACCTACTTACTTTAAGTCTAATATATTGACCTACATACCTTTCAGCCTGCCCTTTTGCCAAAAAATATACCTGTAGGCTGATTTGTCTGATAGTATTTCCCTTTCTTTCACTCTTTCCATGAATGCAAAAAAAAAAAACGTGCAACTATATTTTTCTTACAGTGTGTCTGTTTTTCATTACTTTAGGTTGGTTCAGAGTCTGGAAAACCTGGAATCTTGTTGTGAACAGAAACAGTTATAATGACCTTGTAACCATCACACTGGAGGTTCTGTACTACTAGCATAGTGCAAATATTACCAAGCTCATACATAGCAGAACCACAGTGTCAATCACCATGAATAATTCTCCTCACACATTTTCAGACACAGAGCCCATTAGTCCAACACGTTTTCAGGTCAGTGTAGTAAATGAAGGCTACGACAACCCTGCTTGTGAAGGAGATAAAGACCCACCGCAGTACGAGGAAACATCTTTTTCTGGTGAAGACAGCGGCCACAGAATGAATTATGGGCCAGGGAATAGGGAGATATTTAACAATATCCTACACAGTGGAGATACCATTAAGACAGAGGCAGGTTTCCATCCTTATGATACTCACAGTCACACATACTACTTGAAAACATTTGGACACAACACGATGGATGCCGTTCCCAAGATTGATTATTACAGAAATACTGGCAGTGTCTCGGGCATAAAGAAAAGTCGCCCAAGTCTGGCAGAAATCCATGAACAGCAGTCAAAGGTAAGTTAAGTAAAGCAAACAGTCTGTGCTTTATTTTTGCTGCATGTTTTAACAAAATAGGACCAATAGCGGATCAGTGACACAAAATGATTACTCTTTGGTCAAAAAAGGATCCAAAAACTTTCTATAAGGAGGAACAATTGGTGTTTTTTATTTAAAAAGTTTGTTGGAGCAAAAATTACACTGAAAAGGCCCAGAACAACAGCACTAGAGCAGCAGTATGTCTTGTTATTGTTGGACCACATAGGGCTAATATATGAAAAAAACCTTTCCCATAAAAACAGCACTGTTTAGTTTATGTCATACTATAAGGAACATTTTAGTTAAAATGTAGCCTGTAATAAGGAAGTACGGAAGCTGCTACTGCTGAATTCTCCTCCTGAAACTACAATTTATGTTACTATCATGCTTATCCAGTGGCTTCAGACCTTTCTAAGTCACTGACTTGTAACAACATACTTGGAGTCTGTTGTAAAATGCATGCTCGTGCCAGGTCAGTGTAAGTGTGGTTAGAGAAAGCTAGGTAGTTGGTATTTTCAGAAATAAAAACGTCCATACAGTATCTCTCCAAGTAAGTCCTTTATGCAGGAACCATACATTGAAAGCATGCAACCTCAAGCTCAGACAACCCTTCATGCAAATTATTCTGTAGCTCCATAATTTTTGTTACAACACAAACCTAATATCAGTAGTCTCCAACTAGTGGCCTGCAAGCACCTTGCTCTTCTCAGATATGTGACGACCTTTTATTATGAGTTAGAACATTCCCATTTGTATGAATCCATATAGGGGATGATTGGTATCTAGATTATAATAAACACAGTTAACATGTCTGTTGGGAAAGCTCCTTTAAAAAACATTTTCATACCTAATTATCCTGTTATAATATCTCAATCTGGCTGATGAACTAGGAACTCGTTCTCACTTCATACCCATTTTCATTAAACCTCAGTTTATTTGATTGTAAAAGGTAACATAACTGGCTTACGTGAACATTTAATCCATCTGTTAAAATTAAAACCTCATTCTAATCCTAATATTAACAGGGCAGTCCACTGATAACGAACAATTGTTAGTGGATGTTGAAGCGTTCAACCACCTGACAGTTTCTTATATCTCTATCGAAGAGACATCTGCTCTTGGGTTCCTGGGTTTGCTTACCTGCTGTGGCCATTATAAGGAAATCGCCATGTGGGACAGTTTTTTTATTTTATTTTGTGCTGTAGAGAAAGCAACATAATAAAGTAAGATGGGAGGGAACCCCAAAATTCCCAGGTAGACAGGAACAAAGTCAAGAATTATGGCCGGGAGATTTCACTGTTGGAATATCCATGACTTACAAGAGGTCAGGGGCTATCTTCAACTAAACTGTTCATTTTGGGTGGACTTGCCCTTTAAATGTGGGCACGACTATGAATATGCAATCTAATTACATCTTAGGCAAGAAACAGAGACAGTAAAGGTAGTCTATAAATGATAAACACATAACAGTCTACAATACAGTGTACAGTAAGAGTCTTGCATATGACTTTAGTATGTACGTTACAGCTTGAGCTCAAGGACATCAAAATGGCTTTATAAGAATTAGCATTCACAACTAATAAAATACTGGTATAATTCCTCTTAGCTGCTATAAAGGAATATGATTTCAACTATGACAATAGAGGAATTTTACAGGCTAAAGATTAACAGAGTGTAATTTAACCAATTGGAGGCAAGGTACAAGAAATAATGTAACATCATATAACGTCAACTAGTAACAGAGAGAAAGTACAGAAGTTGCTTCATTCCTAGCCATGCGCTTAAAATAATACTTTGTTGAGAGAGATACGCAAGTTGTCATTGATGTCATTGATACTTATTGTTATTCTGAGTTAAGGGCTTTAATACTTTGAGTCCTTGGGGTTGATTTACTGAAGGTAAATAGGTTGTTCACTTTGCAAGGAACGTTACAGTTTTCAAGGGAATTTTCCCTTAGTTTACTGAATGTGATGAAAATACACTTAGCTCAAGGAAAAAAAAAAAGAAGGTTTTTACTTGCACATGATTGGATGATGGAAGTCAGTGGAGCACACCATCACCTCAGTCACCACGTTAAGGGAAAATTCCCTTGTAAAGTGAACAGCCTTTTGCCTTTAGTAAATCAACCCCAATGACTAAGAAGTGATATGCAGATCAGGAGTTAAGACTCTTACTGCACTTGCTGCATGTTTATTCAGGATCTGTGACCCCACTCACATCTTTGTGATGCCACTTGTGTTCCTGAATTGAATGTTGCAATGCTATGTGCACTGCAGTGCCATTATTTCTTAATGGGACCCAAACGCACCTAGCCATTACATATGTGTTGTTTGGCACTAAATCGCATGGTAATCTATTTCCATTTTGTGCGAACAGAAAAGGTGCTTGCACTTCTTTAAGTGCAATTTAGCTGCAGTTAGCCCATTTAAGAAAGACCTACCCTACCAGAGCACACCACAACGCAGAAGTGTGAATGAAGGCTAAGACATAAACTGATTCAAGCGTCTGACAATTTTTTTTGTTTCTGATGAATTCTCGTGCTTATTACCACTCAGACTTTCACCACTTAACTGCCTAATTATTACAAGCAACAAGGATGACTTGCATTGCCTGTAAACATTAGGTTGCTCAGATACCTAGAGATTACCCGTTCCAAGTGTTTAAAGCTCACTAAGATGTTCTCTTTTGTTTTGAAAAGGTTGGGCAAGAGTTATAACATATGTCAGGTTTTAATTGCAGTCAGTGACTTCATTGGGGAGAGTTCCCCTCTTTTTATCCCTGTGACACCACAACAAAAAAATGAAGGGAATGGGAGTCATGGGTACAGACAGCAGATAACAATTTACCAGAGGTTTTAATCTTTACCCACCCTACTCAATGCAAGTGTTTTTGTTGATTTCCCATCAGTTCCTTTCTCTATGAGTCCTTCTCACCAGGAAAATAGAGGTAATCTTCCATGTGGTGACACAGAAAAAAAACTTGACAATAGTTTTCAACCTTCCTACCTATATACAAAAAAAATGTTTGATCCAAATTGGGCTTTAAAACTTAACTCTAGCCATCTTGGCACAGCAAATAGCCCCAGCACTCAATATATCCAGATCACTGCAGCTGTGTGTGTCAAATCTGTACCTCAAGCCTACTCATGAGGTCCACTTCATACCCATGAGTCCACTTCACACCCATGCATGTACACAAGTTATCTATTGTTTTAAATTGTGCTCACCTGGATGATGCAGTGATATGCTAGAACTGTTTTGTGATGCATTGAGACATGTTACAGAGCCTATTGATGACAATGGCATGATTGCCTATAAAATGTGTATAAAAAGCATGAAACACTCACAGAAAAAGGTGTGAATCCAGCCTTAGTGGTACATTTGTAAAGCAGTGACTGTGACATTCACAATTCACTGCTAGTCATTCACTGTATATCAAATCACATTGACCAAGACGATCCATCAATGAGATATTTGGTGATCACATCCACAGGCCCCATAGACTATCAATGAGCATCATCTCGCTAATGAGGTCCATCCTCCCTGTGCTCTTCCATCCTGTAAACCTGCCTCAATATTTACCCCTCTCCTTCCAGATTTACTCCCATAATATGATTTGTGCTATGGCTGGTTCATACTCATGACGCACACAGCAATCCAGAGGAGTATGGACCAACCATAGGAATGAATGCAGCCACAGTGTATATGGGCACTAGGTGCAGGGCCTGGGTGGGACCATTTTTAAGCAAAGGCTGTGGACTCTGGGCAGAAACAGTGAAACCTTCTGGGGTGGTCTGAAGATCATTTTTTCCCATGTTTTACACTGAGGGGGTGTGTAAAGGACAACTTTGTTTGCTTTTCAGTTCTCTTATTGGAGTAGTAAGTTAGACAATTAGTGTTTTTGACTTACATGGCATGCTAAATAGTTCAACTTTTCCCCTACCTTTTAGTGGAGAAACCATGCTCTGTTAGCATCTCACTTCTATGGGAAGTCTATATAATTTGCGTATCTACCAACAATACTTTTTGTTAAGAAATCATAAAACTTTTCATTGCTGAATTTTAAGAAGGCCTTGTCTGCAAACCTTGATGTGAAACTTGATAAACAGTAAACAACAACAAAACACGGTCTACGTGAAGCATAGGGCATTTATTAGGGAAAATATTCCAGGCATACATTAGGCCGAACAGTATAATCTTGCTTGCATACAGGAGAACATTGAACCCATCGCTGTATGAATTTCCATAAATAAAATCAGCTTGGCAGCCCCTGTAAATATAGAAAATACTCATTTGCATAATAGTACAAGCTGAAATGAACAATCCGGCACGTCAATCCATCTTCACCAAGATGATATGTTCTGATGAAGCCAGATTGACAACCCAAATGTTGATTAGTTTACATGAATAAATCTTTTCAAAATTGAATGTTGTCCGAGGCTTATTTTATCTACCTAGGTGCTGGGACAGAGATATGCCAACTGGTATCAGTATACTTATTTTCGCTAATAAATAATGACATCAAACAAGACAGACCCCTGTCTCGGAAGAAAAATGCATTTTTCAACTTTAGCTTGCCATGTGCTGTAGGCTGTGTCTGAAGTTAGGAGAATCTGGCCTCAAGGATAAAAGGTTAAGTTCTTTTCTGAGTTCTGTGAACAATGCTGCATTATTCACAAGAAAACGTCAGCCCAGGTGACAATCATAGACACATTTTGAATGTTCTGATATATGGTTATATTTCGCTTCAAGTAGCTTTTGCACCAAGGCCAAGCAAATAATGCTCTAACTGTGCCAAATGACCCCATAAATTTGACACTTTTTGTGCGCTAAATTCTAAATGAACATTTATAGTGGAAAATGAATCCTACCTACTGTTGGTATAAGGAATGATCACACTATGGGGTTGATTTACTAACCTTATAAACACGCCACGAACAAGTATACACCTCTGTAGTGTGTTCCCTCCCAGCATGATCT